GGGGTCCAGGAGCCTGAAGAGACCCCTTCTCAATGAGAACACATGCTCAGTCTTCCATCTGGGGAGAGTAAGGGGACGGGACTCCCTGGGGACGGGACTCCCAGGGAGCTGTGTGCAGGCCTGCTGGAGAAGGTGGGACCTGATGGCCTCGCTTTCCTGATGTAAAGGCCACCAGCTTAGGGCCACAGGGCTGCAGGGGGGAGACACACGGGGCTGCCAGGAATGACAGCTTCTATTGGCCCCAGCTGTCCCTGTCCTCCCCCCCCCACTTCCCTCTCCTGTGCCCATGTATCTCAGCATGGACTGGCCCCTTGGCCTTGGTGCTCACTCCTAATTTGGGAATGAGGCAGGGCAGTGACTTTCTCCAGCTTCAAAATTTTATTTATTTATTTGTCAGAGAGAGAGCGAGAGCGAGTGAGTATGAGCAGGGGGAGGAACAGAGGGAGAGGGAGGAGCAGACTCCCCACTGAGCAGGGAGGCCGACTCGGGGCTCGATCCCAGCACCCTGAGATCATGACCTGAGCCATGCCACGTGGGGAGGCGGCCAGGCCTGGGAGAGTCTAATGGAGAAGCAGACACCAGGACGCGGGTGAGATTTGCTTGAGCCTCTTGAAGGAGGGGTGAGCATGTCGTTTCCAGAGGAAGTTTTGGAAGCTTGGGGTAGATTCCTATAAAAGCTGATTGGGCCTGTTCTCAAGGGTGTCTGGGTTGGGCTGAGGGCAGCTGGGGAGGTGAGAAACTCAACTGACCATGACATTCTCCTCCTTGGGGGCCGGAGTACATGCCGGGGTTGGACTCCTGGGCGGGGCAGCAGTACCAGGGGACCGGGGAGGGCTGACTGGGTGCAGAGATACCACGTTCTGGAGCCAAGACAGCCAAGAGTTAGAGCAAAGTCCCCCCTCAAATGCCCACTGACTGCCTGGGCTGAGCCCTGTACCGGATGGGGCCAGGGTGCCGGCCCGAGGTACAGGAGAGGAGAGGAGAGGCAACAGGATGATCCACCGGGGCAAGTGGGCCGGAGGGGACTCAAAAGGAAGCTTCTGCCTCAGCTCAGCAGAAGCAACTCTGCATGCCTCTGTGAAGGGGCAGGAGAAGAGAAGCAGAGAGCCAGGCCGAGGAGGAGGGCTGGGGCACTAGCTGGCCCGTGGGCAGGTGTGGGTCCTCTCCAAGGGGAGCAGACAGCCCTGGGGAAAAGTGGTCGGCTCTTCTGGGGTGGTAGCTTGTGAGCTCAGGGAAAGAACCAGACATCAGGGCAGCCCCTGCCTCGGACCTGATCTGTCCTCTCCGCCCTGAGGCCCGAGGGCTGCAGCTGGCCTCCGAGGCCTCCCTGGGATCCCACATCAGCTTGGCTTGAGGAGCTGGGGGCTTCTGCCGCTGGAGGGAAGGATCCAGGCTACGGTCTCTGATCGCCTGTGGATTTACCATGCGTCATCTTCAGGCAGGCCCCCAGTCAGCCAGCAGCCCCTGTCATGAGCCCTGACCTTAACCCACCTGTCCTGGTGTCCCCTCACCTCCCCTTCCCCTCTTGAGCTCACCCCTCCACCAGGACAGCCCCTTCTGTCTGCCCCGGGGAACACCACACCTGTGCACCCACAAATAACTCAGCAAACATGCATCAATTCTCACTAGCCTGGGTGACTGGCTCCACCGGGAGGCTGTCGTGCTCAGGGGGGTTGAGATTGCCCAGGTACCGACCCAGCCCGGACGTCCGAGTGGCTGGAACGTGGTGGGTGCTCATCCCAGGGCTGCCCACAGGGCTGCTCCTTGTCCGGGATGAAGCCGCTCTGCGCAGGGTGGAGCGAGAGGGGCCGATCTCTTCTGTCCCAGCCTTGGAGTTCCCCGAACGTCCCTTCTGCCATGACCCAGGGGTCACCGCAAACTCTAATGCCAGCCTGGGTCTGGGCAGGGTGGTGGCCATCTCTGAAGACTGTTGACCTGCCCCTCTGGAGAGGAGAGGAGCAGCGAGCTTGCGGCAGGGGAGGTGCACGGGGCGGGGTGTGTGTGTGTGTGTGTGTCCATGTGCCCGGCGGTGCCAGGACAGGAAGGAGTCAGGATGAGGGGGAAGGGCAGGGGCCTCTCCTAACCCCTTCTCGCTAGCTGCGTGAACCCCCTGCACCAGCAGACTCTTGCTCAGTGCCCAACCCCTCCCCCCGCCAGCACAGAGCACAGGAGGAGTGCACAGGGACGACCTCTAGTGGGGACAAAGCGCGGTCGCGAAGCACCGAGGAGCTCCTGAGCCTGGGGGTGGACGGGACCTCAGAATGGGGGAGGGCAGGGCATCCCTGATGGGGGAGCAGCTTCAGCCAGGTCCAAGGTGGAGCGTGCGAGGCCCTCGGGCTTTCATGCTGTCATCGCTGTAGCCCTGCCCGGCCCCGCGGCTCATTCCCGAGGACTAGTCCCACGGAGCCACAGCCCCCAGGCTAGCACAGGCTAGCTGGCTGCCATCTGGCCTGTCCCCCTTCTGATCACTCACCCCGCTGTGGCAGCCTGATAGGTGTGCGGAAGCATGGGGGGAGGGAGGGCTTGGGGGTCTGGCCGAGCCTCTCCCGCGGAGTGCCGCGGGCCCTGGTGAGTCTGCAGGCTCCTGGGACGGTGGTGGGCACCCACACTGTGTTCTTGCACTGGCTGGGTTGGCACAGGGCATTTGAGAGGGGGTGGCTGGCCCGGAGCCGAGCTGAGCCCGCGGCCCCTCTGCGTGAGCCCAAGGCTTGGGTTGCTCCTGTGCCCGCCCTCCCCACCACCTCTGGTGGAAGGCAGGCAGGAAGGCTGATCAATTTTATTTTATTTTTTTATCTTTTAAGATTTTATTTATTTATTTGAGAGAGAGAGAGAATGAGAGAGAGAGCACATGAGAGGGAGGAGGGTCAGAGGGAGAAGCAGACCCCCCGCCGAGCAGGGAGCCCGACGCGGGACTCGATCCCGGGACTCCAGGATCATGACCTGAGCCGAAGGCAGTCGCTTAACCAACTGAGCCACCCAGACGCCCAAGGCTGATCAATTTTAAATAGCTTTAAGTCTCCGTTGAAATAATCCTGGCTTCTGCCAGAGAAGGCACAGAAAGCTTCCATCCCTTAACTAATGCGGGAAGGGTCAGATGGGCTCATGCAGCCCACAGAGGTCTGTGACTGCTACCAGCACCTGGATTTCGGGGTGACCCCATGAGCTGTTATTACCCCCTACCTCCGCCACTCAGCGAGGCGGAAGGCTTGTCCAGGTGGGGAGCAGGCAGAGAGCAATCCCCCGGGGGAGCCCTGCCCTCCTGGCTCTGCTCTGTGAGCCCTCAGACCAGTATGCGCTCCCAGGGTTGGATTGTGGGCACAGGGGTCCCTCCCGCCAAGGGGCTCAGGAGTGACAATGTGACTAGGTGTCCGCTGGGACCAGGATCCGTGCTAGGGGCTGAAAGGTGACAGAGGTGGCCACCCCCCCATAAGTGATCTATCCGAGTCTCTCCTTCCCCCGCTCCGGGCCCGCGACACTCCTTGCGGTCAGGTCTTCCCGGTTACCAGTCACTCTCCTGGCCCTGATTTTGTCCTTTGCGGTTTCCCAGAGGTCACAGGGCAGGGCCTGAGGACTGGAGCTTCCAGCCACGGGTAGTGGTGTGTGCCTACGCGCGCGCGTACCTGCCCAGGCCCGCATCCCTTTTTGGTGCAGAGGGACGCAGAGGCACAGGGAAGCTCCCAGAAAAGTATCCTGGGGGGCCTGGGGCCAATAAGGACTCGGGGATCAGCCGCTTCACTCTGGTGGCCCCTCCCTGCTCCAGCACACAGGGCACCCCTCCGCGGCCCCACCTCTCCTCCGGCTGGTGCCACCCCCGCACACCCTCCCCTCCAGTCTCTCTTGGGCTCGGATCTTGCAGCACTCCTGCCCCAGGCACGTTCCCGGCCCTCGGCCGCCCGCTCCCCGCCTCCCGGCGCACCCCCGGATGCGCACCCACTCCTTCCAGCTCCCTAGGCCGCCCCTCCCCCCCAGCCCGCCCCCGTCCTGCCAACCGCGCGCTCGCCGCCTGCAGCACCCCGGAACGGGAGGGCCGGGGCTCGCACCGGGGGTGGGGGGCGTGTCTTGAGGGTGTGCGCTTCAGCTAGGGGGCGAGTCCTGGGGGGGGGG